CCGCTCCATGGGACGCCACCCTAACATGTTTCACCTATCTAGACTATTGGTTCGTCGTGGTCGTGTTGGCTCAATACAGGAGCCGGCCAGCCGTGTGAGCCGGGTGCCAGAACAAGATAAGGAAGAAGACAGCGGAGAAACACGCAAAGCAATTCTGAGGCTCCGAAGTTTCTCTCGAATGAAAGTATTCTACTTTGCGGAAAGATGGACACGGATCATGATTATTTGGGATTTACCAAACAAACTGAGACGGTGCTGTGCGGCGTAGGGGCACAGAATTTAATAAAGGAGTTCAAGAGCAGAAACATATCGACTAGCGCTTTGCATAAGCTAACCAAGCAGGATTTTGTGCAACTTGGTAAAACGCTTGTTGTTTCTTATTTCCGACAACTGTGTTATTGCTTTGACAGGCTGATACGTTCTGTTTACAGAGGTTTTAATTTCTGGGATGAAATCGTATATGTGTGAACATTTTGGTAAAAAATTTATAAAAAGTTAAATATTGGGTTAAATTTGACGTGTACGAGATTTGGAACAAAGTAGATTACAAGATAATTTTTTGTAGAATTACCGTATTTCAAGCTCTCTTTGTAAACGTGGAATCTTGAAGAATTTATTCTTCCACAAGAAAATTGCGAGACCCAATTGTTTCTAGTTTCAAGTATAGTTTATTACTAAAATCTAATTTGAATTACTTATCTTTATTGGTGTAAATAATAGTTATTTAGAAATTAATGTAACATTAAAATTAGAGGCAAAATTTTTTTATGTTTTCTTGCTACGCGTGAACATATGTGTTTGTGTATAAGGCGGAAAAGAAAGAAAAATGAAAGTTGCAAAAGCAGTGATAAGGAATTGTTTGCAGGTGCTGATAAGAATCAGGCAGGGGATATAGTCAACGCTTTATGCATCTCTAAGAAAGACGCATCCGATATAAGGACAAAGCCTCATCACAAGTATAAATTCGTCATAAAAATCTTACATGTAGTAAACATTAAAACTAAAAAGTCCTGTTTTCTTTTACAGGATACCTAATAAAGTAGAGATGCTGCAGCTAAGCGAAAGGCAGCTCAGTATAATTCAGGACTTCGTGAAATACTGCAGGATGAAGCTGGCAAAAGAAAGAATCAACTGTTTTGTCGAGCCGGATAAGGCTTTAAGCGCCTCTCACATTCTGTGTTTGATTGCTGACGCCGCTCTCAAGGAGGTCGTTGCAACCGAGTTAAAATTAAAGGAATTGGAAGCTGTGATAGTTACGGTATTACATGTATATTGTATATACAGAGTATCTGATAATAAGTAACGCCCTTTGTAGGCAGGTAGAGCGGGTTAAACCGAATAGAAAACTCCTATACCATCTTGCTATTTTTGCAATAGTAGTAAAGAAATTAATGATCTACGAATACATCTATTCCATTCAGTGACAAGAGACAGCGCGGCTGATTGCAGTTTCCATGTAGGCTATCATAGATATTAATTGTGCAATTTCTGAATAATTGCAAAGATTATAAAATGGTAGAGGACATTTCTGTTCAGTAAACCCACTCTATCTAGCCGTGAGCACTTTGTGTCCGATGTTCCTTCAGATTAATGGACTGATAATTGAACATTTCGTAATAAGAACTTGGTAAATTCGATTGCGAAACTGCATCTGATTTTATCCGGTGATTTTTTAGATCTGCATCCATTTTCAGCGATGTGTAAAGTAAATCTTTTCTTTGCAGCCTAGCAAAAGCCGAGAGTATTCCTACATACTGTATAGCGTTCCGCTTAGTGGATTGTGCATTACGACGTATATATTGTTAAACAGATTTTGGAGATAAAAGTTTTGCAGATTGTTAGGATGCGCGAAGCGCAAATGTTTTTTTTATTATGTAGTTTGTAAGACAATAAGTTTTTTACAATATACTTAATAGAAATGTACTACAAATAACACGCAAACCAGCGAAACGACTCCCTTTATTTGACATTATTTCACGATATCCCACAAAATCCCCCCAAAAATTTATTACTCTGTTGGAGCGTCGTTTATACACAGAGTGATTCGCAAAGTATTACCCCCATAGAACATATTCTCGGAGTTATTTACTCCAAAACTTTTTTGTTAACAATTTTTGTTATTTTTCTGCTGTAAGATGCAAAATTAAGGAATTTAAAAAGAAATTATGATTTTGGAATGCTTCTTGCTTAAAAGACTAATAATTTTTAAAGTATGTATTGTATTTGTAACAATTTTTTCTATTCTAAAAGATTGTAAAACTCCAATTTCTAAAAAGCTCCAATTTTCAAATTGTATAGTACAACTCTTTAATCACGAATCTGATCCATTTGCATATCAATTCATTCAACTGACTTTTTTTTTGTTCATGTGTACCCTCCTCGTGGAAGTGAAACGCTTGGTGAGTCACTCTGTAAGACATTATTTAAAATTAACTGACGCGACTTTAACTAAACCGTCTTTGTTCTCTTTCCAAGACAGAATCGTGGAAAAGAGACCCAATAAAAAATATATAGAAGAAAATCCCCTATTATGAATTAGGCTCCTAATGTGATATAGCGGAGTTTCTGCTAAATTAATAGGCATTATCTATTGGTTCCACCATGAATTTATTGCCCTTGGAGTGAAATCTCTTGTTTAGTGGAAAATTGATCGTTGGATCGTGTAATCGTTGCGAGAGAAATTTAAGTGATTGAATTTGGACGTTGAAAATCGATCTCATATTAGAATCTTGTCTCGTAATAGAGGACTTTCCTCTAACATTATATAAAATTATGCATCAAATATGTCCGTACAGATTTTTACATTATACATTTCTATATAATTATCCTATAAATTTATCCTATAAAATTTTACAGACAAAAGTTGTTCAAGATAATAGGGGTCACCTATCTGTGTAACTAGCTTTGACCTTGAGACTACTTTTCAAGGTTATTTGAAGGTCAGAGTGGTTTTTTATAAATGGGAATCCCTATTTGTTATTACATAGTCTTATAGCTTACCTCGAGAGCTTTCCAAAACGCTATAATAAAGTATTTTATTATTAAGAACTTTTTGAGTTATTAAAGTTTGAAAGTTCCAATATTTTGACAAATTACAAAATATCTTGTAAAATATTCATTTTTTTATCATCTTACCTTAATACTTTTTTGAACAGAATAATGAGACAAATCAACCGGTGTAAAGAAAACACACAATTGTTTAAAACAATTTTTTTATTACTTGTTAAAAATTGTGTAATAAAAAATGGGGGTTCCCATTTTAAAAAACCACTCTGACCTTCAAATAACCTTGAAAAGTAGTCTCAAGGTCAAAGCTAGTTACACAGATAGATGACCCCCATTATCTTGAACAACTTTTGTCTGAACCATTTTTCCGTATCTGTCTTAGGTACAAAGAAATTTGGGTGCATAGATTAAAATGGCCCACCCTGTATATAATTAAATAAGAAATTTTTCATGTAAAAGCATGTCTAAATCTATAAAATTATACAGAATTGTATTATATAGAAAATAAGAATATACAAAATGATATAGAAATATACAATGTAAAATAATGCATATGTATATTTTTATAAAATTCTATATTATTTATTCGTGTTCACGCATGACAAAATTTTTACGGGGGGTAATCCTAATGTTGCAACTCGATGCCTTTTTTAAGGAAGGTGAGGAAAGTGTCCAAGGTTCCGCGAAATCGAGGGGGAGAGAAAAGTCAGGATAAATCGTGACAGCGGGGGGAAAAGTCGAGAGAGACGCATAGGGCGAATCGTGAGAGGGCTCGGTCGAGGGCGGCCGTGGGGGATTTCGGGAAGCGCATACACACACACACACACACCACCCACACACCCCCTAATGTGGCCGCTCCGCGGCGCAGCGTCGGGGCGAACGCATGCGCATGCGCCCGGTCGCTGCGTGAACTTTGAACGCTCCGCTTCAGTCGCACTAAGATGGACGGCGGAGCGTACGGCGGCGGAAAGGCCGGGGCCCCTTTCGATCCGATCGCGTTCGTCCAGCGGCCGCAGGTCATTCTGAGAGCGGTATGCCTGGTAAGTCGCCGCCGGCACCCCCGACAGCGCGACCATATCCGGCCGATTCGATCGCGATCGCGATCGCGGCGACGATGGTGCCGTCGTTGAGAAAGAGAGAGAGAGCGAGAGCGAGCGAGATCCCTCGACGCGGATAGTCATTGATTTTAAAAGAGAGCCTCGGCTGCCCCCTCCATTCCCGCGCCCACGATGGGGTTCTATTGATTTTTCACGAATTCCAGCGGCACGCACCCGCGTGTCGTGGATCTCCAGGGCGTTCGATGATTTAATTGGGATCCGTCGCGATTCGACAGAACGGGTCCTCCTCGCCTGACCTTCCTGCCGGATATATCTCGGGCGAAATGGGGTGGCTCCGGCCGCGGGCCTCCCCCGTGTGCCGCCTCCCTAACAGCGCTATTAGCTCGCGCGACTGGATCCTCTTCCGTTCAGTCTCACTCTCTTACCCTCTCCCGCTCTTTTCTTTAATAAAACCGCTCGTTTTCCTTCGCGTTGCACGCATATAGGGACACGCTGGTTAAATATGCAAGGCGTCTGCGGCCGGAACGAGCCGGAACCGCGGCTCAGCTCGAGTTCTAAGATATCTCGAGACTGGGACTGTACTCGAGACGAGAAATGAAAACCCAACATTTCGGACTGGCGTATTTACTTTGTTTCGAGTGGATGATTAACTTTGAATGGATTTTCTTCATTGATTTGACCTTAAACTTGCCATGTATTTTTCAGGGCAACGGCGTTCAGTGCTTCTCGGTTTTCGTCTATTTGTCACTTTTGTTATTCGAATATATTGTGAAATATAAAATTAAATAACACACCGACCTCAACTGGCAGAAAAAATCCTTTATTTGGTAAAGAAAATAACGTTACGGCCTCTGGTTTAAGCCTTTGTCAAGTGGGATCTAGAGGAACAAAGTTTTAAATGGAAATTGTACTACCGCAGAGATATTAGTCACCGATTTTTCTAAAAGGCAAAAGATACCCCAAACAAAGGAAAAATGAATAGGCAGTAAGGGCCAAGCGTGTTGTCAGATGTTTTGATCATCTAACGTGATCTTTTTCAATGACATAAAGAAAAATATAATAGAATTATAGCGCAACATTATATGTGAAATTAATTTTGAGCGGTAACTTGGATACAGTACTTCTTTAGGTATCAGGGAGAGATTCTCCGTACGCTGTTGGTGGAATAAGAAATTTATTAGAGCAAGTGTAAGTCCCAGTCTACAATAGATGATTTAAGCCCTAAGCTTTAAGAAATTGGCCAATCACGGTCAAGTATGAGTAGAATGCGCGACTGTGATTAGTCAATTTCTTAAGGCTTAGGGCTTAAATCTCTATTGTAGATTGGGACTTACCAAAAAGAAAAAGAAAGGGTTAAAAACGAATACGTACAGCAAGCGAGTTCAGCGGTGCGGAAGTTTTTCGGTAATCTTGTGATCAATGTAGATGGTTGCTGAAATGAAGATGATAAAAATAAATTCAAATTTATAGAAAATATTCGTCCATGGGAATCTGTCCTCCGTGCAAAAGTTTAAGACGATTGTCTGCATGGTTGTCGAATAATTAATTATTAAAGGAGGTCCCAGGTTCGAATCCTGGTTGGGGTAATATTTTTCGCAATAAGAATTTTAATTGCCAGATACGGTCAATAAAAATCATTGATGTTGTTAATTACTGCTGGCGACTTTTAAGAGTATTCTTACTAGTTAATCATTAAAGTTATACTATTGCACATGGCCAACATAGCAAAAGTATTACGATATCTGTAATTTAATTCTCGAAAGCATGTTAAAAGTGATAAGAATTTTATAAAAATAAGTGCCAATAATTCTATACATATTTACGAAGAATTTTGATAATGTATATATATATCTACATATATATATATACATATATATATATACATATATGTTCTTGATAACTACGTAGACAAGTCATTTCAGTATTCGTCAAAATTCTTCGTAAATATGTATAGAATTATTTGCACTTATTTTTATAAAATTCTTATCATTTTTTACATATATGTATATTTATATATTATATATTTTTATTTATTATATATATTCATATATTTATTATATATATTTATATGTATAGAATTATTTGCACTTATAAAATTCTTATTTTTTACATATATGTATATTTTATATATTATATTTTATATATTTTTATTTATTATATATATTTATATATTGTATATGTATTATATATATTACATATTTATATAATGTATATATATTATTATTTTAATATATATTTTTTTCTATAAATTTGAATTCATTTTTATTTGAGCAACCAACCTCCTTAAAGATATTGTTACCACACTTGTCGGTCAGATAATATAATCACAAATATAGAATTGGATATGCCTAGTTACAAAAACAAACGTAGAACATCCTATCAGACATATGACGATATACCTTTGAGGTCATAAATCAGACTGCTGCAAATAATTATTCAAATGAGTTGTCAGAAAAAGAGACTAATGATCTTAAAACTTACAAAAATATACATTAATATTCTTGTTCCCGTTGCTATAAAATATACACGCGCGCGCTATATATGTATACTACATGTATATATATATATTTTTTAGTTCCATGTTTAATAATTGTACGTACCTCGTGCCTAGTTACGACACGCCAACGTATTTCCATTTTTCTCGAGTTTCTATCCTACAGAACATCCATCGTGCTTCCAGCTATTCGCAATAATCGTCTTCGGGTGTATAAGCAGCAAGGGCTACCTTCCGAAAGATGGGAAAGACGTTTGTCTCTACAATGACGACAATAACGCGTGCAACTACGGGGTTGGCATCGGCGTACTGGCGTTTCTGGCCAGTATCGGATTCCTCGCGGGTGAATACCTGTTCGAACAGATGTCGTCTGTCAAGACCAGGAAGCATTTTGTTCTCATAGATCTGGGGTGAGCCGCGCCGCACTTTTACACTCTTGATCCTTTAACGGCCGGTGAGACGCGCACACGTCCCACTTGCTCCGAAAAATCCCACCTTCCATGAAAACTAACATATCGATTTCGTTAAGGTTTCATTTTAAGGAGGAAGGTAGACTCTGAATTAACAAAAATTGCGGGGCCTGAGAATTGCGACCCTTCAGCTACACACTCTGTGGAGAAAGTGACAAAACAAAACAAAAAATAAATTTTAGACAATTTAATTGTTTTGCTCGTCTTCAGTTCATGTACACGTTTTAAAATGAAGTTAAAATTCTGTACCAAAGGATCACAAGAACAACCACCCCTCGTGAGAATATGCTGAAAAACGCCCTTTTGAAATGAAAAAAAGATCACATAAATTAAGACCTGCATTTGAGCATACTTTTTGCAGAATAACAGTGAATAAACATTAATCTTCTTCTTTAGCTCTGCAACCCTTTAAGGGTCTTGGCTTCCTCTAGCATTTGCCTTCACTCTTCTCTCTCCTCACTGTAGATAAAACTCCCACTGCAGGTTCTCGTTGACATCACCTAGTCACCTCAGTATCGGTCAAACAGTAATCTATGCAACGAAAATTATTAACAATAAAGTTAAATCAGGACCATTGTAATCAACAAGAAGCCTATTAGGTCCAAGCAGGATGTAGATAGCCAAGTAATTTTAATATGTAAATTTTTATACCGTTTTTCCACCCGTACTGCGCGCCGATTTCTTTTCGGACATGTAACACAGTTTCGTGTGAAAAAATATTTAATTAGAATTGTACCCCTTCCATGAATTATAGGGAAATCAAGTATCAATGTCCACCAGGTTCTCGTCTTGTAACGTTTCTAAACTATGGGAGTGTTTCCTTTAATGTAGAAGTTGTAATTATTTTTTACGGGAGTATTTTTCCCTTGAATTTAGAATAAAAAAATAAGAGAAAATTAAATTACACTCCGCTAAAAAGATTTTTCGCATTTCAGGGGTGGCTTTTGCATGCTGGAGTAATTTAGAAGATAGGAAAATTTTGCTTTTATTTATTTGACCCGTCACGAGGTCAAGCGTGAAACTCGCAAAAAGGACGGCCGTTAAAGGATTAAAATGAGATTTTTATAATCGAGCTTTTCAAAATTGCGTCAAAGCTGCTCCTTTCGCATCCTTTGAGTAACACAACTTGATATTATATACTATTATTACAGTTTCTCTGGTTTCTGGTCCTTCCTCTACTTCGTGGGATTCTGTTACTTGACAAACGCATGGAATAACTCTCCGAGACCAAAGGACGGATACGGTGTGAATAATCTACAAGCGGCTATCGCGTTCTCGTTCTTCTCAATCTTTACTTGGGTACGTTAAGTGGAGTCTCCTCGGCAGGCTTTGTTCAACTATTAACATCTGTTTTCATTCCCTCTTGGCTTGTACGGGTAAACAATTGTGTTCTTTTTATAAGCTATCAAAAGATATCGCTAGGTTCCCAAAATTTCACGTTTATTCATCAATCGATACAAAAGTTTCGGTCCAACTATAAAAGAAACGAAAGAAAAAATTCTTAACCAATTACCTTAAATTTACAAGTGACAGAAAGTTTGTAATATTCTAACAACGTTGGAGCTTTCATGAAATAAATATTGAAAGAAAAGGTGGCGAATTGTTGAACGATAATCTGTATAAAATTAAATTGAAAGTTAAAAATAAACAAGTATAACGAGTCAGTGTTAGAGAAATATATAAATTCATTCTGTTTGATGGCGTGAATGCGGTACTCTATTATTTGGCTTAAGATGTCCAACAAAGGGCACGCTTATAGCCATAAGTATAAAAGTCATTACTTACTTTGTTCCTCAGTGAAAATCCCTGAATATGGTCGAGTGTTATTAATAAAAGAACAAGAGTCGGACAATTCGTCTTCGTTTCGAAAACTAATTGTGCTCTGTAAATTTGCCTGAGAATTACATTATTCTGTTATTGCAGGCCGGCTGCGCTTGGTTCGCGTTTCAAAGATTTAAGCAAGGCACCGACGCGGCATTCGCTCCAAGTTACGAGGCGGATCCTGTCGGTGGTACGGGATACACAAGCTATCCCGACGCCACTGACACCGCTTACCAGGAACCGCCGTTCGGTCAGCAGCAGCAGCAGCAGCAGCGGGGCATGGGTGACTTTCAAGCCCCCGCTTACTAAAAGTCATCCATAGTCGATACCAAAATGTATTTCCATTGGATGCACAGCGAGCTACTTACGAAAGAAGATGATTTAGGATAATTTTTCGGAACAAGATATATTGTTTTCCATCACCTGATTTGCTTAAAGGTAATCTCAGTTTTATTATCAAGCGATCATATCTTAATGCTCTCGTAATATCCTGCGTGTGACTGCTCTTTTTATGCATCGACTCTAATCTAAGAAAAGCAGGAGGTCCCAGGTTCGCATCCTGGTCTAGTCCTAGCCCGTTATTTTTCTCGCCGAAAAATTAATCAGTGGCGTATCTTAGTGCCTACCTCCCCGAAGATACACCCCCTATTTATTACTATGGATAATCTAATCTAAGAAAAGATCGAATAAAGTTATGTTAATACATTTCTGGTTCCGGTGAATAACGTGCCAAGGTATGTAAAAGATAATTGTCGTTCACGATCTACGTAAGAATTGTCGGCGCGCAAATTCTCTCTCCTCGCGACACTTTGTGTCTTGGTAAGATTTTACGCGGCAGCTACATCGAATTGTATTTTCCTTTGCAGACTAAAGAAGAACTTCATTCGCTGATAGGTCGCTGGGCAGCGCGTTGGTCATAGAGTAAGTTTTCATGGCAAGATGTAGAAGGAAGTTATTTGTTAAACTGTGCTTCTTATTGTTGACCACTTGTAAGTTACATTTATCCATATGCCCGATGTCACAAAAAGAAAAAAAAACAGCGTTAGGTGTGTTTGAAGTCATATACGCCTGGACATGCGTTACGACGGCGGCTAATCTGACCATCTATGGGAAGTAAATATAAATATAATATCTTATAATGAGAAACACTATAGCAAAACTTCATAACTAAGTAAGAGCTAGTATATGCACAGGCTATGTATATTTTAACGTTGTAACGTGTTCATGGTAAACGCGACTTAAATATAACAGTAATACAATACGTTGCATTATTGTGCAATTAGTATTAAACGATGTACGCGGAGTCTAGGATTGAAATGAGTATAAGTTTTCGAATAAGTCGACACGTGTTTTAACATTAGCGAGACAATATCTAAGTTACTTAAGTTACTTGTCGCATCAGTTGCAAGACAATGGAAGATACTCCTTGCAGAATAGCATTAGCAAATGTAGTTGCACTTGTAAACCATGATAGCAAGCCAAAGTTTTTATTAATATAAATTCGTATATATATATATACGAATTTATATTAATAAAAACTTTGGTTTGCTATCATATATATCTATATATGTATACAGGGTAGGCCATTTTAATCTACGCACTGAAATCTCTCCAAATCCATAAGTTTAAGACAAAAATGTTTCAGACAAAAGTTGTGTGGTTTCGAGGGGGCCATAATAGTGTAACATTGGTTTGACCTTGAAGAGTTATTTGAAGGTCACATGAAGGCCACGTTTAATTTTTGAAATGGAACACCCTATATATTTTGCATATTCTTGTAGCTTACCTCGAGAGCTTTCCAAAACACTGTAATAACATGTTTTTTCGTAAAGTACTTTTTGAGTTACAATGCTTGAAAGTAACAGTACCCCGCCGGCATTAGTATTGCCCAAGGTATACCACGTGGAGGTTGCGCGGATCGGAACTGCACCCACAACAGCCGACATTATTCTGTGCATAAGACTATTAAGAAAAGATAATCAAAGAATGAATATTTTATAATTTATGTCAAAATATTGGAACCATCAAGCTTTACAGCTCAAAAAGTTTCTTGATAAAAAAATATTTTATTACAGTGTTTTGGAAAGCTCTTGAGGTAAGCTACAAGAATATGCAAAAATATATAGGGTGTTCCATTTAAGAAATTAAACGTGACCTTCGTGTGACCCTCAAATAACTCTTCAAGGCCAAACCAATGGTACCCTATTACGGTCCCCTCGAAACCATACAACATTTTGCCTTAAACTTATGGATTTTGAGAGATTTCAGGGCGTAGATTAAAATGGTCTACCCTGTATATAAATTATAATAGTCATAACTTATACATGAATTGTTAACCGCAACATCTATTGCCGTGTTAGATTTTTGTATTTGAGTCGCTCTTACGTTAACAATTCATTAGTACAAGGATGAAAGGTTTATAAATGAACACGTCGCGATAAAGTTTGTTCTCATTGAATTTTTATATTTAATAATTATTTACTTTCCAATAGGTATTTATGGGATCTCAGGAACATATTTTCAGTTATTTATATTTTATTGTTTATTACATATGGTGAATGTGAATCTCGATATGTAAAAGTGCATTACTGAAACTATGAAATTACTTGGATTGATATTAACAAAAAGTGAGGTATTTATGGAATCTCAGGAACATATTTTCAGTTATTTATATTATTTATTGAATTATTTATATTTTATTGTTTATTACATAAGGTGAATGTGAATCTCGATATGTAAAAGTGCATTACTGAAACTATGAAATTACTTGGATTGATATTAACAAGAAGTGATGTGTAATGATCTTGAAATGAAGCACGCGTTAAATTGAGATAATCGCTTGTTTAGAGCAGAATAAAAAGTCATGCGTGTACTTATGATATCATTTAAAATTCATGGCTTTTAGAGCATTTATTTAAGTATTCTTTTGTCGTGTACTGTATTTAAGCAATGTGAACATTGTTAGAAACTTGTGCAGTAATTTAGCAACCCGAAGATACTCGAGAGAATTATACATTCTAGGCACATATGAACTGTACAGTTGAGTGTAAGATTATTTAACTTGTATTTGCAAAGGCATGATTTTCATAGACATTTGCGTTTATAGCTTTCCGTCGATCTTTCGATATATCTAGTTTGCATAACTCTCTTGAAGAGAATACACCTATGATAAGGTATCCTGATCATTTGGAAAGCATAGTTTGTGTAAAATATTACGTGAAGTGCAATAATAATCATTATATGTATTACCGATAGTTCTGAAAATATCATCCCTTCGAACGTGCAGGATTCATTGCGATGACGAAAGATATTTTTCCGACGTACGGTCGTACTGTTTTACACTTTCTTTCCCTTACCGTTTATTTACCAGACTGCGTGTTCGACGGGCTGGATTTTTAGATGTACACTCTTCTCAAAATTGATCTCTCACCTCTTTTGAAATCTTAGCCCTTCTATATAGCTAATAACATTGTTGACTAGTAGCGTGGCGTGACGATGCACATGTCCATCGAGAAGGGCTAAGGCAATAACAAACAGTCTAAAATCTTTACCGTGTAAGAGAGAAACAACGTGATCGTGCTTTTGATTTCGCCTGTGAAATCGGAGGAAGCGGGATGCACATCGTAAACTCGGCAGAATGTAATGCTATCAAAAAGTATCTACTACACTAAAGCTGTAAAGGAATAAAAACCTGTATTAAGATGTGGGTATTGATAACTAGCTGTTGTATTATTGTACTTATACATACATATATATATATAAATATAAATAATATATATACATCTAATCAAATTGCAGTAGCAATGCGTATGCGTCTGTAAAGATTTGAGTGTTTAGGGATATATACTGTAACTTGAAATAGCCAAAATACATATAAGTGATTATTTTTATGCAAGTCCAAATGATTACGTGACAGATTACGCTTATCTTGCGCGACCGTACTTTGCGATTATTCGTTTCAAATTTAATACGCGATTTGCGACACGTTGCACACAATGTTATTACTTTTTTTTCCTAATCACACAAGATGTACGCTGCTTATCAGCTTGTTGACAGACGTTGCAAGCTGCCGCAGAGAGAACTCGTGTGTCGTCTCCAAAAGCAAAAGTGTGCGTTTACACGTATGTAAACATTGTTTCTAGCATTTTCTTTCCAACATGCAAAATATGTAGCGACTTGCTGACTTATCGCTACAAAAATTGAACGTCGTAACCTAATCGTTTTAGTTGGAGGTGTTTTACGGCAACCGCTCTAATTTAATTTTATACACCTGCCGCGATCGTACACAGGGTGTACGAAAAAGTCGGAACCCTTGAATATTTCGGAAAATATAAGGTTTTTTTCAAAAATGTGTCGGACATAAGTTTTATGGTTTCGAAAGGGCTGTAAGATGGTACCATTGGTTTGACCTTGCATAGTCGTTTTGAAGGTCACTTGAAGGTCACTATTAATTTCTTAAATTAGACACCCTATTTTTTATTGCACATTCTTATAGCTTATCTCGAGAGCTTTCCAAAACACTCTGGTTGAATTCATTTTGTATCAGCCGTTTCGAAGTTATCAAGGTTTTTATGGTAAAATGGCTAACTGAGGGCAAGATCATTGATGGATCCGAATTTCACATTATCATTGAGAAATTAGTCTTATCGTTACGTTGAGAAACTGCTCTCACCACTGAGCTACTCGGACCTCACGCCTAATGCCAGTGTCATTGATGGATTATCCATCGTCTTGTAACGGTCTACCTTTTTATGCAGGGATTAGCTCGTCGGGAAAAAGATAGATAAAAGCACTCGGAATCGGTTTGTGATGAAAATAAAATAAAAGAATATATTCTGATGAAAAGCGAGATATTTACAGATGTGCGTGTTCGCGTTTATTTTGGAGAATCGCTCGTCGTTACAACCCAGATAGCCAGTGTGAGCACAAGTTGCTTTCACATTGCTAAGAAAAATGTTAGCATCTTGCTATACATCTATGTCGTTTATTGTGCTGTTGTTTGCTAGCATTTGGTGTCGGAAATGAAACATTTGCACGATTCAAACATTATGCTAGCATTAAGTGCTTGGTCAGATGTAATAGATATAACATGTTTATATCTGTTAGAAAATTGAAAACAATATATGCTAATTCTTTGTTAGCAGTATGCATTCGATGTGCTCTATCTTTAGCTGTGCACTTGACTACGACAATATGTTAACATTATGCTAGCTATACTTAAATCACTCAAACATTGAATTCATATTCCCAGCAAAGAGCCAGCATCAGTTGCTGACATTTTATTTCCATACATTGCTTGAGCATACTGGCTATCTGGGAAGATGTTAATTGCCGATCTTGCCTTAGTTGGCCGGATCCATCAATGATCTTGCCCTCAGTTAGCCATTTTACCATAAAAACCTTGATAACTTCGAAACGACTGATCCAAAATGAATTCAGCCATAGTGTTTTGGAAAGCTCTCGAGATAAGCTATAAGAATATGCAATAAAAAATAGGGTGTCTAATTTAAGAAATTAATGGTGACCTTCAAATGACCTTGAAAACGACTACGCAAGGTCAAACCAATGGTACCATCTTATAGCCCTTTCGAAACCATAAAACTTATGTCCGACACATTTTTGAAAAAAACCTTATATTTTCCGAAATATTCAATGGTTCCGACCTTTTTCGTACACCCTGTATACGTCTTGCAGAGTTTATATTCAGAGGGAAAAAATGCAGGATTTTATTTCTTAATAAATCTTCGAGTGCCTAACACAGTACAGTTCTTTACGCGTTTTTGAAGATACACATTCGGACACCGATATACACCAAAATCAATATAACCAAGTTCACGAGATGTCCATTACACCTTGGCATCTTTCTGTACAAAGGAATTTATCTGCCTCGGAAATAACATTATCCAAAGTTATGCTAAAAGTCGCTTTATTTCTTCCACATATTGTTCAACGATAATAAATTACCTAACTACTTGGTCTAAGAAAAATAATTAAACTTCTGTAAAAGGAGGTATAGAGAATGTTGCGGGTATACGAAGATACTTGGGTATTTTCCAAAAAGTTTATTTCCCAGTTTTCAATTTCTTTTTCCTCTCTTTACCTAGCGCTTGGTATTTTTCCTCCAATTCGCCGACTATACCCGGCACGTGCTCCATAAGCTGCTCGCCGGTAAGCTTAAAATCCGCGTCAATCCATATTTTCTTCAGTTGTCCCAAGACGCTGCCGATCATCTGGTGGATCGGCACGCTCTTCAACATGTCGCCATTGACAGGAAATTTCGGAATTGTCCATCGCTCGAATTCGTCCAGGAGCTGCATTGCACCGTGATACCTCAGCAACTCCTTCACATAATCCTGGAGAATGCTGTACCTCGCTGTCTGCTGGAGCAGAACCAGCTGCTGATAAGGTTTCAGCGAGCTTCCGCAGGGCTCGCATCCCCTGTGTTGCACAAGGAAGAATGCCAGATCTCTGTCGTATCTGGACAGTTTCAGTCTCTCGTATAACTTGATCACGTCGCGCTGATCCCTCAACATCGATACGATCAGGGATATGGGCTTCAAGGCCACGTTATTGGACCGCGCGCGCTCGCAAACGTTTCGGAAGTTCTCCACGTCGGGTTCCTCGGGTAGGCCGATGTGTCTGGCGGCGCCGCACTCGAGCAGCTTCAGAGTCAATTCCGGAGCGAAATTGCCAGACAGGATCTTGTTCCATTCGCTCCAGATCCTTTCGCCGGATATCTGTTGCAGGCCGTCAATGTTCCCCTTCAGCGCCCTCAGTGTAGCCTCGTCGTGCTCATCTGGGCTGTCCATTATTCTTCCATAAAAACGAAAGTACCTGGCGGCAATTGGACGATGCACAACAATCTCCAAGATTTCAGGCAACGCATAACATTCAAGATATAACGCTATATTAGGTTTCCTTCGTATCGCGCGAGCGTACAGGTTTATTAATTGCACTATTTGTGCATACATACACAACGTACCTTAAGATTCGAAGATAATCCTCGCATATCCTGACACCGGCGTCGCCCACAAAGACCACCCTCCTCTTCTTCAGGTCGTCATAGCCGTAGAAATAATCGTACACCCTGCCATCGAGATCAAGGAACATGGAATTGATGGTGAGATCTCTCCGGTTGGCGTCCAGCTTCCAGTCCTTGGTGAACTCCACCTGCGCATGCCGGCCGTCCGTAAGAACGTCGATCCTCAGAGTGGTGATCTCAAAGTTCTCCGCGTTGTTTATCCTCGCCGTGATCGTCCCGTGCTTCTCGCCCTTCTCGTTTATCATCCTGACCCCCTCCTCCGTAAACATCTCCTTCATCTGCTGCGGCGTGGCGTCAGTCGCGAAGTCGAGGTCCTTGGGCTGCACGCTCGTGAGGATGTCGCGCACCGCGCCGCCGGCGATCCTCAGTTCGTAATTGTGCTTCCTGAAGAGGCCCGCGAGGATTTGCAGCTCCGGGCTGAAGATGGAGCGGAACTCTGGGCTGTCCAGCTTCGTGACGACCGGGTCGACCCTCGAGAACGCCGCGTCGCCCATTCTCCTTCGTTTCCAGGCTCTCTCGTGCAGTGGCCTCGAGGTTACCCCGCACCGTCTCACCTGCTGTACGGCAAAGAGAGGACAGACGGTTACCCGCTCGTTACCTCCTGCGCTCAATAGAGGAAATATTAGGAATATTAGAAGAGACCGAACGTAATGCACAAAATTCTCTCTATTGCGCGCAGGGCCTTACAGCCGACTCGACATAACCTCACTTCTTCACTCTCGAGAACGCGATCGTTCTACTTACGGTAGTGATCTCGCGACGAAGGAGACTTATCGTTCGCCGTGCCAACGTATTCAACATTGCGCTCACCGTATCTCAGCCTGTCGCTTCCGTGCAGGAGACGCACGTGTTACAAGTTACAATGAGCCTTCCCTCATCATGCTGGCTCCGATATACCGAAAATATACCCAAGATGAGAGTCCTCCTCACCGTTGAAATTCCACAATTGTCAATTTTAATACGTAACGCACAAATGTGAAAATTTTCACTGTCGCTAGGCACTAGAAAAGAGTTTCAGTTTAAATGTGACAGTTAATTGCGTAGAGTAGATATCTGTTGCATCGATAGCGCGGACCGCGCGGACTGACCGAGCACGCGCAGTCACGTATGTACAAGTGCGCAAAATTCGAAATTCCAGCAACTTTTAGAAACATCACGCTGAGGTAATCTAACGGTTGAAAGGCGTTCCTATAAGAAGGGTAAACTTCAACAACAACAAAAACTAAACAAATTAATCCAATGTTCGAGAATGCGCTAAACGAAAGGAGGACCCACACAGCACAGAAAGATTGCAGAAATGTTACATTGCAAGATTGCAATATTGCAGCAACGTTGCGCAACATTGCTGCAACGTTTCTGGAGGATTGCAGCAACGTTGAAATGTCCGCCCTCAGAGAGATTGCAGTGCAACATTATAGCAATGTTGCAGTGCAATATTTTTTGAATAATTTGTCGTTGTTGTACATAAGCAGAGAATTACTAATTACATATGCATCCAGGCCTTCTTCAATACACAGCAAGCTATTGCGAAGCAACCTAAGGAGATTATGTCCCTTCGCAATAGATGGAGATTGTGAGCAACACCGCACTGATCAAGCACTTAATAATTCGCGCATTATTGGTATCAACGAAAATAACATTATAAAATTCTCGTAAATAGAAAAAAATTTTAAATAGAAAATATAGTATTTTTATTATTTTTTAAACATTGCTGCAATATTGCTATCGAAAGTTTGCAATTTTATATCCCTGCAATGTCTCTGCAAGATTGCAACGTTTCTGCAATGTAACTGCAACCATCTGTGCTGTATGGGGAGTCACCTGGTCACCGGACTGGAGTCCGGAAATAAATTCGAGACTTCTCGTCGTTCACGATAATCTAAGTTTTATTCGTATACTGAAACACTACCGAACTTTACACGCACTTCCCCTTCGGGATCCGCAAGCATCTCGACTTCTCACGTTACTGTGAAATTCTGCCACCTCGAACACTAATAATATACTGAAATTCGATACCGAAAAGATTATAGACGGATCGACCCTACGCAAGCCAATAACATTTAAAATATTATAATTATTCTGTTACATTTCTTAATTCATTGTCAACTTGTTTAAATGCAGGTCCTATTCGAGTTACGAATCCGATGGCGTTGTTCTCGCTTCTCTGAATTCTAATGTTTTCTCTTCTGCCTTTCATTATTTTTAACTCTAATACGAATCTTCATCGGATTCGCATACTTCGGGGAGGCAGGCACTAAAACGCGCCACTTATTAGTTTTTCGGCGAGAAAAATCACCTTTCGCTTGCCGAGATAGGCCCAGATGGCGAGTAATACATTATTATAACATTTTAAACACTAATTCCTCTATTGCGTTTATCCAGGGTGTTCCACAAAGATCGGAACAAGGGTTAAAGGCTAAATTCTTGAGACCATTTTAAGACAAAAATCTTAATGCTAAAATACTGAGGCAACGGTACTTTTTTAATTAGATGTGTTTGAAGTTAGCGAATGAGGTAGCTAAAAATTCGCGCGCTCAGGTGTGACACAACGCACAATGCTTGAAAGAGAATGAATTTGTTTGCACTAATATTCGCATACGTCCACTGTCCGTGCAGATATGCAATTTTATTGACAAGATTACAAGAGAAAGTGTATAATCGCACGGTACGTAAAACGTAGGCAGTCGAATGACATTTCTCTGAATGAAAGCTGGTGCATATCTGCTGCTAGTTCCATATCCTACAAACATTTGTAGTTTGCACACACATACAATAAAGGTTGTAAGAACTGTGTCACTGTTATATTAATAATTTCCTAGAAATTTAAGAAATTTAATTTGCCGGATTTTATTTAATGTAAATGCATATTCTTCTGAATGGTTTTTTCTCGTTTAATCTCCCATCTATATAATTAACTTTCGTAGGGAGAAATAAGTTCGCAAAGCATATATGTATATAATTCGGGACAAGATATATGTAGAAAGTGCTTGTTTTGTTTGTTAACGGAAAGTGTTCAGTTGTTCAAGAAAAGTTCGAGCTGCAATAATATTTTCGAGTCAATCGCGACGTCCGACATCGATTCGCCGATACAAATTGAATGAGCAAGTTCGATAATATTAAACTCTTTATTCTCCTTTCGTTTATGTACATTGCTATTTAGTACAAAAGAGAGTTGATGCACACAAGAATTAACGACGGTTTAATTAACGATGGATTTAACATCATGTTTACTGAACGTAATGACCACCGATGCGATCATTATATTATGAATATCGATGTGTGATCACTGATAATGTATTTCCTATTATACGGATCGTCACGTGTCTTGCTTAAATTCACCTCAGCCAGTGCCTATGTTTTCAATATATATATATATATATTGAATCTTTATACGTTCCAAAGAGAGGATGTAATTTCGCCTATCGTGCGTAAAAAGTATAAAACCTATCCACACACAGTATACTTCCGTACGATATGAGCGTACAATTTGACTGTAAAATGTACATACAACAGAATGTCACAAGGCAGCTAATACAATATGCATTTATTAATTGCAGACAATACGTATGTAGTTGTGTGAACGACATCTTCTCGAGATTACGATCTCTACGGCGCGCCATTGTTGCAACCAGGTTGGACGAGCGAATTATCCACGGGATGTTGCGCCGACATTTAAATTTTCGTTACGTTCTCGTCGGTTCGAAAAATACCTGTGCGCTGACGCTCGAAACGCAACACGCTTGTATCCTACGAGGGTGTGCACCAATTGTTGCTTACATTGAATACCTCTGGGAAAAACGAAAGCTATTTCCCGCAGTGACCTCGTCCCGTCCTCTTACGAGCATCGTCACGTTCACGTCTCGCTCGTCCTCGACAAGATCTCGTCTAATTTTACATCTTATTAGTATCATCTCAAGCAAATTGTCAAGATCACACATATGTAATGCTATCATATATATGCATATATGTTTGTATATACATGTACATAACAGAGGCATATCATGTGAACTATGTGCTGTAATTAGCGCTAAAGGCGAGACATGAATACGGGTTACGGTTTTTTTTCTTTAAGATAGTAAGCACTTCTTCCTTCCTGAAAACGCACAAGTGGAACGGAATTGGTGAATAAAAATCCACGTTATCTCACGGCATCGGGATGTAATGTAAAAACCTCTCTTGTATATCGGGCGTACAGACACGAATCACAAGCGAACGCATAACAAAACACAAACTCAAGTCAATTTCACATACAGGGACAACGTTCGGCAATTTTATACAGTATTTATTTACATTCTGAAGTCGCAGTTATCAGAACTGTGTGTATGTGTGTATGCGTGTGTGTATGTGTATGCGCGTGTATGTGTGTCTCGTACTTGTCCGTTTTACAAAATACGAATAGAGTGAAATAAAATATCAAGTATCCTGCTTATGGAAATGTATTCGTATGAAAAAGATCCTCGCAGGCCATTTTCCGCTTATATAAAGGTTTCTTTAAGTCTACTAATCTAGGTTTAAGGATCTCTACTGATTTTACAGCGCAGCTGCTGGGAAAATACACCTGTGCTGCGACTTGCCTCCTCCCTCATAAGTAGCGACTCGAATTGAGCGTTTTTTTTCTCTTTTGTTATCCGTCTCTTCTTCCTTTTTTTCCTTTTAATTATACAATGACACTATGTCTTATCTGCGCACAGTATGTTTCCTAATTAGCTTAGCAGAGAGGATCGTTGATCGTGATCAGAGCTCATCGTCCGAGACGTTGCAATGATGTACGGACGTATTTCGGACAGAGGCCATACGTCGTCGAGTGCCGTCGCGAATGCGCATTTAAATGTCTACGCGCGAACGTGCCTACACGTTAATATTTTTGCGAATAATAATAATAATAGCAATCACGAACTCTTTCGTATTTGAACAATTAGATAAATAAAAGTATTACGCTTATACAATTACTGAATTATGTATGTACACACATGTTTCGTTCATCGATAGATGTATAGATATATGCATACATATGTGTGTATGTATGCACACCTTTAATTCCACTTACCATCCAGAAGATAGAATGTGTTTTACGCGTGGTCTAAAGAGAGGCCTAACGTTGGAGAAGTTTCTAATACGTTGGGATTGCCAACACGTGATCAACTCCATAGAGTCTTCCTGCAAGTTTCATTAAATGCAGTTGCACGAAAAGATGAGGATATAATGTTAATTACGTTCGCAACGATCGGACGTGCGTGCGTATGTTAATGGGTTAAGCGTACCCTAGAATGACTCTGGGGTGCGTTTAACGTATGTACGACCGTGGCCTAAGACCCAGACCACGGTTGTACACAGAGGTCTGGAAAGTAGCCCCAATTTCAGTAGTCGAGGCATGATCGTTAAAGCGGAAACTATTAAGTACGTATAAGGAGTACAAACACAGCTTTCCAACGTGGCCCCAAAAATGTAGAAGTTTAAGAGATTGCAGCAATCGCATTGCTTCGAGATTTATATCTCGCTTGCATCCGAAGCAAAGTGACGACAATAGCAAAAGTGGCGAAACATTGAACCCTTGCTGTCGGCCATTTTTGCCCCCCACAAAGTTACACGTGCAGATAAGCTGCGTTCATACTCCTTATGCATTCTTCATAACAGATGTCAAAAGGACCAGGAGTTTAAATTGACCATAAAATAAATAAATAAGCTGTTCCTAAGAAAATAGAGGTGGAGATATATCCCGTCATGGTCAACCCTACCGCAACAACTAGCGGCTACTAGAGAATTAAGAAATTGCGTCACTAAGCGACTTTCCCGCCACCACTGGAGTTTCCAGACCTGTGTGCACAACCGTGCCCTGGACCACAATTTATCGCGTAAAAATATCATGTAATGCGGCTGCATTCATTACTTTCACTTACGCAGGTTTTGTTATCTTGGGAGCGGAAGAAGTCTTCTTCTTGTTGTTTCGACACTTCTTTACGTACGCTTCTATTAGATGGGCTATCTTTTTGGGATTAATCTCGCCCGTTTTATTATGGCATATCTACAATTACATAAATGAGATTGTAAGATATTTTTGTCACTTATATTAGCGAATTATATATTATTTGATATTAGATATACAATTTTGTAACAAGTAATAAAAAAAATTTTTTTTAACAACTGTGTGTTTTCTTTACACCGGTTGATTTGTATCATTATTCTGTTCAAAAAAGTATTAAGGTAAGATGATAAAATAAATATTTTACAAGATATTTTGTAATATATGTCAAAATATTGGACCTTTCAAACCTTAAAAACTCAAAAAGTTCTTAATAAAAAAAATACTTTATTATAGCGTTTTGGAAAGCTCTCGAGGTCAGCTACAAGAATATGTAATAAAAAATAGGGGATGCCATTTTAAAAAATTGGTGTGACCTTTATGTGACCTTCAAATAATTCTTCAAGGTCAAACCAATGGTACCATCTTATGGCCCCCTCGAAACCAAACAACTTTTGTCTGAAACATTTTTCTCTCCCGGGCTTGGTTTTTGAGATATTCGACTGGATGGATTAAAATGGTCCACCCTGTATATATACACACTTCTAATTAACAAAAACTACAAGTTCACCTTAGGTACTGCTTTGCGCATAATATCTTTGTATTCCTCTTTTGTAATGTGCTTTTTGGTATAATGGGGCTTGAGAACCAATTTCACTTCCTCCACAACTCTCTCTTGTCGATTTAGTTTCTTAAGAAACTGTAACAGCACGAGCAAAAGCAAACTTTAGACACGCATATTTAATGAAACAGATTACGCAAAGTCCACTGATATACCTTGTCTTTAACTTGCATCTCTACAGCAGAGCTAGGAAGATCATCCAGGATTTGAAGCTGATTCTCATCCATGCGTACGCCAACCTTAGGATTGGTAGCTGTAAAATATATAATTTGCATAAGTTTATTACCAAAATATTTCTACAATACTAATATTAACGGGCGAAATGTTAATAAGTAACAAAGGCTCAATCGATGAACCAATGAAGCGATAAAAAGCGGACTCAGAGCCACAAGGGGAGTTCGTGTCATAAAAAAAAAAGAATATTTGAACATATTTCGACCTGTAATTAGACTTGAGCGAGAGATTTGTGTTTACCTTTGAAATTTTGAGTTAACAGCTTTACGACACGACATCACGCGCGCGTGCAATAATATGAGAAGAATGTTTTGTTCGACTTTTATCTTTTAACTCCTTATCTTACGATCACAGTTTGAATTGCGTACGAGTTGAAAACTTTTGATTATTATTTATTGAATTTATAGACCAACTTGCTCTCACTGAAGTTGATCTAATTCCGAAACTTTCTTTTTTAAGTAAATTCTTTCGACACGAATACACACTTGTGACTTTGAGCTGCTCTTTTCTCTTATAGCACTTGCTTGTATTGTTTGTACAATGATTATCGCATAGTAATAATTACAAACATAAAACTCAGACCTAACGAGACAACTCGGTCTGAGAAACTAAAAATAAGATGGAAAATAAGGACAAGAAAGTATGAGGTAAAGATAGAGGAAATGGATGACTCGAGCTAAGTGAAAAGTTGTTTGAAGGAAAAGGTAAAGGAGGAACAACAGTATGGAAAACAAGGATGGGCATTACAATAGAGATGGGTAAAAGACCATAGAAAGCTTAGAAAACGAGAGAAATACAGAGGAGGAATTAAAAATAAGAGAGGCAAAAAGTATAATAGAAAGTTAGAAGTGGTAATAAGAGCAAAGTACTTGAAGAAGGAAAAGAAGAATAACATGAAGGACGGTTTGGCAACTAGGGCTCTAATTGTAAGATGTGAAGATATGGAAGAGGGGAAATAAATATCGGATAGAAGATAGAAGAAGATAGTGCGTTTTGCGAGCAGGAGAATTGATTAAGTTTTGAACTGTAGACCCACTTGTTGGTTATAAATTGAAGTGAACAAATTGTCTATCTATCAGAAAACTCAGACCTCCCTGTATCGCCTCACGACACACTTTGAAGGAAGAAACTTCAGGTACGTACACTTCTTCGACTTTTCCTTGGCGACCTTTTTGCTTTTGCTTTTCGTGGCAGTCTTAATAGGCGGCAGTAGTCCGCTGAACAATGCGTCAAACGGGTCCTTCTTCTCCGTGCCCTTATTGACCTTGGGCGTGCTAGTTTTAACAGCGGCGGGTGGTGGTGCATTAGCACTGGGCGAATTATTGAAGTTGGCGGGGCTGGGCGGGTCGAACAGTCCATCGCTCAAGGTCGATCCCGGCGAGTAAGGGGACGACATATCAACGACGTTGTCGTTCGTCATATCTATGGTCGCGTCGCTACCATTCTGCCCTACCGTCGAGCTGTTTTTACTCTGGGTGGACTTGGAAGATCGAGCCATGGTCGATTTCGCCGAGTTTATAAATACATTCGGGAGCTGCGGTCTGTCGTTTGTACGTTGCTTCATCTGATTGCTCGGCGAGATGCGATTAGGCTGCAAGAAGACCAAGCGTCAAGATAATCTGACGTTAGAACGAACGGACGACGTGGAACAAACGGATTTAAACTTGAAAGCTTAATCGACAGATCGGATACCTGTAACAGAGTCCTTTGCGTGGTGTTGGGTGTACTGGAATTGAAGCTTCTTTGTACCGCGGCTGCCACTGTCGCCAGCACGGGATTGATGGTGCTGAACGGATTGGCAGTCGACGGCACGCTCTGTGGATTCTGCTGGGTCTTGGGCGGACTGCTGCTACACGGTTGGGCCAGGTCGGCTTGACTCTCCGGCGCAGGAGACGCGGAGACGTCCCTCTGCGGCGACGGTCTCTTGATAGTCACCATCGATATGATCTTTGGCTTCTCCATCGGCTTCTCTTGACTGGGCTGCTCCTGCTGCTGGCTGGGCTCGTCCAGCGGCAACGGAACGTCCGCGGGCCCGTCGTGCTTCCTAGGCGAGTTGCGCTGCGCTCGGTCACGCTCGTCATTGGGCGTGGCTTCCTGGCTGGCGTCCGGCGTCGGTGACCGGGACTTGGTCGGGTCGAAGGGATCGTAAGCGTCCGGCGAGGTTGGCGGGGACGTCGGCGGCTCGGGAGGTGTGTTAGGGCCGATCTTGAGACGCAGTTCGAGCTCCTCCTGAGCCCGCATCTCCAGCTCCTCCTCAGCACGCTCGTCCATCATCTCTTCCTCCTCCTCCTCCTCCTCTTCCTCCTCCTCTTCCTCCTCCTCCTCCTCTTCCTCCTCCTCTTCCTCCTCCTCCTCCTCTTCCTCCTCCATCAGCGGATTGATCAGGGACGGTCTGAGATTGCTGGGCTGCTTGTTTATAGAGAACTTGATCTGCGGCTCCGGCGGAGTCTTCGGGCCCTGCGAAACGAACTGCTCGCGCGGCGGCGACACCTGCGACGCGGGACACTGCTGCGGCGACACGGCGAGCGTCTCCTGCGCCTGCTTGTCGTCGTCGTCGCTCAGCACTATGACATCGCGGGGCGACGGGGTTTGCTCGCGGAACGGGGATTGATCCAGGTCGATCACGGCCACGGGCTTCTTCGTCGCCGCGATCTCCGCCGCCTTGGATTTCTTCTTCTTGTCCTTCTTTATCTTCGGCGACTTGGACCGCTTGTCCTTGGTCTTCTCCTTCTTGGACCGCTTCGCGGAGGGCGCCGTCTCCGCCGTCTGAACGGACTCTCTTCGTCGTCGTTTAATCGGTGGCGATAATGGAATGGTGGTCGGCGGCAGCTCCGGCGTGGCAGACGGATTCATCTCGTTGTCCTTGTTGAAGCATACACTGACGAGTATATTGTCACCACTAGCGAACACCTCCTTCGACGGCGGCGGGGTCCTGTTGCGCTTGCTCTTCCGCCGCTTCTCCGCCTCCTTGGACTTCCGGCTCTCTTTCCGGCGCTCCTTCTTCTTCTTCTTGATCGCCTCCTTGTTGGTCAGAATGACAGTCAGATTCTTCGGCGACACGCTGTCGAGCACGGAGGGCGGCGGCGACCAGTTGCGCGAGGCCATCGCCTCCTGCTGGATGTGCGGCGGCGTCTTGGACCGCGAGCGCGACCAGGACGGCGCCCACTGCGCGCTCCACGAACGCTCGTGCTCCTCGCGCTCGCGCGGAAACTGCTGCTCCTGCTCCACGCTCTTCTCGTTCAGCTGATCCCAGTTCCTGTTGCGGTCCCGCTCCCGCGAGACCGACCGGGCCTTGGAACGCGAGCGGCTGTGCGCCTTCCTCTTGCCGTGCTTCTTCTCGCGAGTCTTGGACGACTTGCTGCGCGACCTCTTGCGATTCCTCGAGCGGCTGCGCGACTTGTACTTCTTCGTTTTGTCCTTCCGCTTGTCGCGCGACCGCGACAACGACCGCCTGGTCCGTCTTCGGGGCGACAGCGAGCGCCGCTTGCGCGACAGCGACCTCGAGCGCGATCGCCTGCGCGAGACGGAGTGTCGCCTCGACAAGGACCGCCTGCGCGACTTGCGCCTGCCACGCGACGACGATCTCCTGCGCGAGTTGGAGCGGCACGACTTTGAGTACGACTGGCCGCGATCCCTCGACCAGGACAACCGCAGGCGAGACCGGCTCTTCGACCGGCCCTTCGAGTACGACCGGCTCCGTCGGTCCTTCGAGCCCGACTGAATCTTGTTCGACGAGCGACTCCGCGATCTACTCCGCGACTTCTCCCTGATGTCCCTGCCGTACTCGTCCTTCCGCTGCCGGGGCGGCTTCTCGGCCACGATCTTCCTCACGTCGTATCGCGGCAGCTCTTTCCTCTTCTCCTTCTTCTTGCCGACCTCCTTCGTCTTCTTCTTAGAGCTCGACTTGTCCTTGTCCCTGTCCTTCTCCTTTTCCTTGTCCCTCGACCTCGACCGTTTGTCCTTGTCGCGGTACGACCGCTCCTTGGTGCTCTTGGAGAGTTTCTTCCACGAAACCAGGTTGTCCGACGAGATGTTCTCCTTGTTCTTCTCCGTGCTCTCCTTGCTCTTCTCCTTCTTGTCCTTCTTCCTTTTCTTCTTGCCGTCATCTTCTTTCTCCTCCTTCAACTTGTCGCGCTCCTTCGCGTCCAGCTTGCTCTCATCCAGTATCTCACCGTCCTCCATCTCCTTCTCCTTCCGTAGCGACAGGGCGTTCAGTTCCTCTTCGAAGTTTATCGCCTCGTCGGTCTCGGAGATGGCCTCGGTGCCCAGCTCGGCGTAACCAGCCGGCGACCTGCAGTCGTCCAGGTCGTCGTTCGTCTTGTCCTTCGTCGGTGTAATCGGCTCCAAGCCGACTTCGAACGGCGCCGTATACCGCTCCGCCAGCGTGTTCTCGTCCCTCATGGGCAGCTCGTCCTTGCAAGGCGTGTAAGCGCCGTCCGAGTCCCAATTGGTGTCGACGCAGGCAGCAGCGGGCGCAGGCGGCTCGTCCAGCTTGTCCTTCTCGATCGGGAACTGCTCCGCCTCGTCGTCCACAGTCGAGAAGCTCTCCTTCTCGTGCCGCTGGTCCGACGAATTCGGATCCTCGTTGTCGTCGTCCTTGTCGTCGCGATCCGTCGCGATAAACTTGTGGCTGTTCAGCTCATCGTCGTCGTCGTCGCCGCTGCTCGAACTCGGCTCGCACGCCCCCGCCTCACCTCGCAACCCGGTCTTCGAACGCGACAACGAGGTCTCGCCGCCCTCCAAGTCCTCCAGGCTGCACTCCACGCTCAACTCACTGCCGTCCAGCCTCCTCGGCGACGGAGGGGCCTCGTCGAGAGCGGACGACGCCGCGCCTTCCGCAACCGCGACATCCTCAACCGGCGTCGATCGCGACACTTTCCGTTCGCTGTCCTCGTCCTCCTCCCTGCTGGACGACGCGTCGACGTGCTGACCCGGTTTCTCATTCACCCTCGCGCTTTCCTCGTCCGACGAGCTGTCCAAGCGGAAATCCTTGCTGTCGCGCCAACCAGCTGGCTTCAGTGGCTCTTTCTTCTTCGAAGTCGCCGTAACGGGTTCCGTGCTCTTTTCCGCCTCCTCCTCCTCCTCCTCCTCCTCCTCTTCTTCTTCTTCGCCTTCCTCGGGAAATCGCGGGCCTATCTTCACGAATTGGTTCAACGCCGTTGACCGCACGGTTGTGGACTCCGTCCCAGACTTGGACGAACTGACGCCCTTGTCGCCGTCTCGCTCCTGCTGTTGCTGCTTGTCGACCGGCGGTGCCGTCGTCGTCGTCGTTCTCTTCTGAAGGAAACTCGTGTTCTGCGAGTGATCGTCCGAGTGCAGGCCACTCAGCCGATTGTTCAGCCTGAGCTTGCTGCCGATCTTGAAGGTGATCTTGCCGCGGTGCGAGTCGTGCGAGATCTTCTTCGGCGGTATCTTGCTCAGGGCCTGCCGCTCCTTCTGCAGCGCCTCGAGATAGGGATCGGCCGGCTCGGGCGGCACGTCCGGCAGGTCGCAGGCCTGAACGTCACCCACGATGATGTCGTCGTCGTCGGGGATGCTGGGCGGTATCGGCGGCGGCTGCAACGGCCCGAGCTGCTGGGACAACTCTTGCTCCGTGTGTCTAGCCACGTCCATGGTCTGCGACGAGTAGATGGAGAAATTCGGGCAATCCGACTGCGAGTCGTTGTCGTCCTCGTCGTCGTACGCGGTCAGCCGAACAGGCTCCTGCCCACGCTCCCTGTCCTGGATCGCCGTCGAGGGGTAAGTCGTGGAGACCAGCGGCGGCATAGGTATGTTACAACTGTCCAAGCTGTTCCGCGAGCCCTCTGCCTTCGGAGCAACAGCAGCAGCAGCAGTAGCGGCGGCAGCAGCAGCGGCGGCGGCAGCGTCGTCATTGCTGTCACTGTCGGCCGCGAACGGATCGTACTTATCTCCGCTCACCGGTGGATCCCTCGGCGTGTCCTCCTTGTGGCTGTCGTCGATCACTAATTCCTGCTCGCTGTCGTCCTTGTCGCTCCTCGAGTTCTCCTCGAAGTCGAGCAAGCCGGACGGCGGCTCCGGCGGCGGTAGAAGAATCATCGAGCCATTACCGCGAAGCTCCTCCTGCGCGTCGCAATCGGGCTTGGACGGTGGCTCGATGTCGCAGTAAATATCGCAGTCGTCATTGTCCTGCCGCGTGGCAGGCGACGCGGCTGTGGGTGACGCGATTACAGGCGATATGGAGTCCGGCATGACGACGCGCTCGCTCTGCTCGGGCGGCGGCTGGTAGCTCCTCGTCATGTCCTCCGGCAAGTTAACCGAGGGTAGACTGTTGTGTACGTGCTGCTGCATGTTGATAGGATCCGGTACACTCGGCGACACGATGGAGGGACCGCTGGGAGGTGGGACGTTCAACGGAGGCGGCCTCGGCCGAGGGAATCTGTCCGCCACATGCGGAAACGGCGGCCTCTGCTCGAAGCCGCCGCCGCCGCCGCCGCCGCCGCCGCCAGTGCCGTCCGCGTAACCGAACGGTCGCTCGGCGGGAAGCGGCGGCGGCGGAGGCGGAGGCGGCGGCGGGAAACGCAATCGCTCGTTGCGAAAGTGCTGGGGATTGCGACTGCGGAAGGGCGGCGGTGGCGCGTGGGCGCCGAACATGGGCGGCCCACCGCAGTGCTCGAAGTTCGGGTTGTAGAACGGCGGCGGGCCGAAGTCGCGGTTCCCGAAGTTGTCCCGCGGGCCGCCGCCGCCGGTCCCACCGCCGTAGCTGTGTCTACCGCCGCCGCCCGGCGGCAACGAGTCCCGGCCGCCGTGCCGGCCGTTGTCGCGGCCGTAGCCGCCCCGGAAGTTGCCCCGGTTGCCGCCGCTGCCGCCGCCGCTGCCGCCACCCCCGCCGCAGGGGTTGTTGTACATCGGCGCCTGCGTGATGTCGTTGGAGTTAACGCTGGACAGGTCCAACGGCGCGTCCACCTCCTCCAGAATTGCCTCCTGGCGCCGCGTGACCTCCTCGTCCCGCTTCTCCTTCCTCGGGCTCTCGTTGTTGTTGATACTGTGCTTGTTCTCCTTCCCGGGGCTGTTCACCAGCAGCGTACCGTCCGCCTTCAGGATCACGTCGTTCTTCTTCTTGCTCGAGTGCCACAGCTCCTGGTTGCTCATTATGCTGCTCAGCAGGTCTGTTATGGCGTTATCCGGCTCGCCGACCGGATCGGCGATGGCTTTCAAAACGGTGCGGCGTCTGATAGACGGCACCGCTGATCGTCGTTGCCGCACGCTTACCAGCGGACCACTTCCAATCCCCATGGAGTATTCGCCGTCGTCATCCGATCTGGGAAACATTACTCTTTTATACTTTCAGTCTCGTCGCGTTTCTTAAAATTCACGAAAAATCACTCGAACAATCAAGCATACGAGTTTTGCACAGAATAAAAAAAACGGATATAATATATATAAAGGTATAGCGCTTGTGTTCTATTCAAAATAATGACAATAAGTTAAGGCCAAGTTTGACAAGCTTTCTCGGTTGACTGGTTATTAAAATTATTTTACTAAAGAGTACGTAGTTACATTACACTCCGATTTTGCGGACGCGTTTCAGCACACGGTGTTTTCGTCAGCGCTTATTACTAAATATACGTTTCGAATATACATTGAATTAATTAGTTACATGAATGGTTGTTAAATATATAATATATATCTCGCGTCCTTATATATCTGTGCGCGCAGCAAACTACATAGACCGACTGATCAAGGACACAATGCACGCGGGAGTGATTAGAATAGTATTGGTCGCTCACCCAGGTGGACTGTAATCTAGTCCCAGATTATTTCCAAAGAGACTGACTTGAGGTATACCGGCGCTGTATCGGGCGCTCGTGAGAACGCTTTTCTCAGGAATAGATGTGCTAGTTTTCATGGTAGGTACAAGCAGCGGCACCTTCGGCTTCTCCATACCGAGTGTCGAGGCCAGTCTTCTCTTTACCGTTCGCGTGCTAGTCAACACGGACGCCTCGGCGCGCGCCCGCCGCTTGTATTTTCTCCTCTGGAGAAACAGTAACCCCATGTGCTTTTATGAAGACGGCAATAAATACGATAGACAATGTATGCATTTAACAACGGAAGTCACGTGTGGGGAAAGAAAATGCTGTAAAGCAGCGTGAGGAGGCGTCACGAGAAAGGAGTGCTCTGCGAAACCTTTTTAATTTAGCTTAAAGTGAAAATTAAGTTAGAGTATGTTAGTGAGATAAGCAATTAATTTTATTGATTAGAATGAGATTTCTCAGGAGAGGTATACAAGTTAATTAGTATACAAGTTGCAATTATTTTGAAAGCGAGAAAATTAGGAGCCTCGATAGAACTCAGGTCATATTAGATCGGCTTGTAAATTCATTGTTCTTTAAGATTAGACTTATATCACTCTCGATCTAGACGAGATGCATTGCTCTTGAATGCTCTGCTTCTTGTACATTACTTAGCTTTAACGTTCACAGTTATAAAAGTGTTGCTCTTATTTCATTAACTTATTTCTAATATGTACTCTTATGCTTTACGGATCATAGAGCATATTACAATATATTTACGAATAAGTAAGGAAGGTCACATCGTTAGAAATCAATCGCCGATTTGAATCTTAAAGTTAAACGGCTGACACTGCTGACACGTTTTCCAAGATTTTTAGCGTACACGAATATAATGAAGTCATTTGAGCAAAATTAAGAAAAAAAACAAAGTGCATCTAGTGTGAGAAAATCGTTTTATTTATAATAAATTAAGAACAATGAGTTACAATCGAAAAGTCTAATTGAATTGTGTGTTACGAGGGTGGCGTAAGTATAAATTGGGCGTAATACAGTAATGATCGGATAGTCTGGATCGGAAATCCGTGATAATGAAGACACTTAATGAGACACGCCGGCATTACCAGACGGTACCAAGACGGTATATAATAAATGTAATATAATAAACGTCGAAATGCTATTTTAATACAATTTTAACAACCACTCTGTTAGAACATAATTCAAGTGATACTAGACGGAACACACTTTCTTCCAGTTGAAAATAATGTGCCATATACGCGTCTGGTAATGCGAGGAGCAATGTTATGTGTTAAGCTATTATGCTACATTTGAGGAGAAATTGGCGTTATACCTTGCGCGTTTTCTTTGTTCTTTTCTTACACTTCCTCCTCGACGTGGACGATGCGACTTTGACATACGTCACTATCTCTTCCTCTTCGCCATTGTCGTTGAATTCCTTGATTCGCACCTCCCGAACTAGATTGCCGCTCTTCGAGTTCTTCGCGAGTCTTTTCTTTTTCCTTTTCGTCCCTTTAGACTTGGACTTTGTGTTGGAGCGCGTGGAAGAAGCGTTACCTTCCAAACTATTGTTCGGCGAGCGACTTCGACTATTGTCACCAATCGAGTCGATGCCGGACGAAGTAGACGGCTGGGTCGGATTGATCAGTTGCCTGATAACGTGTCGCGGATCGTCATCGCGCACTCTGCGAGTGCGGCTGGCAGGTACGTACGTACGAGGAAGCATACTACGGAATATGCTTAGATTTCTTCTTATTTCACGGAGGACCCGACTAGGATTTCTCCCTGATCCTACAAGAGTTGGCACAAAACTCGACAAATACTGCAAACACAAATAAGAGAGAAGAAATTAATGCGCTTTCATTCATCACGGCTTGCCATACAAGGTATCAAATATTTCACCGAGTATACAATCACACGTTTCACGCACAGACTCGAGGAATCTACATGGAATGTTAAATTTTCATCTCGATCAAACAATTCCAATTCGTTATTTTTTTTTCTACTCTAGTTTCGCAATTTTGCAAAATTAGTTATACATTTCTATATATATATATATATTATAGAAATACAAGTTACACGAGTAAATATGCTTCAAGTTTGTATCAATTAATAGAATTAGAAAAGCGCCACTTATAGTCACCAGTGACTATTTCTTCCTGATCCAGACGATTAACAATTTCAACAATGGGCTCATTGTCAACCCACCTGGTAAATTTTTATTAAATTCGTTACATTTCGACCTTACTTCAGGTCCTTTCCAATAACAATACAAAAAATTTGTTTTCGGTAAACAAGCGAGTCAAAGAGTAATGAAATTAGAATGTCAGTAATGTGTGAAAATTAATTTTGCTCTGCAATCAACGTGTATTAAAAGAACTCCTTTATGTATCGTTAACACCCGTTTCTACCAACGCAGTTCAACTTCAATCTCGGTTCAACTTGCTTTGTATCTTTCTCTAGTTTTACGAATTGGAAAAGGACAAGAAGTAATTTAAGCCGAGACCAAAGTTAATCTGCATTGGTGGAAACGGGTACAAGTCGTACGAATAATTCATCGGCACAATACATCTCTCGTCTTCATACTTTCGAGTGTGAGAGTTCCGTTACCGTTCTAGTCGAGCTGTTTCGAGTACACCCCGGACAGTACCACTCTTCGATGGGAACCGTCGTTATCGGGGGCGTTAAACATTCCATATGATAGCCACGGTCGCAATCGTCGCAAAGCAACATTCGATCTTCCCTGTCACTCTGATGACATATCTCGCAAAATGTTGGATCGTCCAGCACACTATTCTCAATACGTGGCACAGATTCTATTGGTAAATGATTTACGACCTACGGCAAAAGAGGGGATTTTTTAGCCCTACCCTATCTCTCTATATAACAACGGCGAAAACAACAAAACAAGCTGAAAGTCCACGCCATTTACGGTAATAATTTTCGAATCAAAATGCAGTGTTGGATGAAGTAAAAAAAAAGATCGTATTACCATACAACCATCCGTACGATCGCATTATCAGATTACCTTGCCATCGAACTGATCCCTAACAACGATCATAGTGAAGGGTATGCGGTCCACGGGGCAAGTGTTAATGTTCTTACTCCACTCCAGTAAGCACTCGAGACAGAAGCAATGATCGCATACAGACGGAGTGCCGACTTGCTGTCTCCTGAACGGCAGCAGACATATGGGACACTTTTCCGACTGGTCGTCGCTGCTCTCGGAGTTGGCGACGGCGTTGTTGGACGAAGAACCGGCTTTGTCCGCATTCTCGCTCTTGGTCTTGGATAAAACTTTACGTTTGGAATTATACTTCTTTACATCTTCGTCCAGCTCGTCAGAACTGGCCCAGTCAGACTGCCACTCGGATGATGTGCTGCTGCTGCTGCTGCTGCTGGTGCTACTACTGCTGCTGTTATCTGTAACACACGTGACATTGAGTGTCTTACGTCGGGCTAGCATCTCGAGATGCCAATAATAAATATAATAAACTGACCATTCCGAGTGGATTTGCTCCTTTCCGCGCTACTATCGTAATTAGATTCATCCTCACTAATAACTCTCTGCAACAAAATAACGTTAACAAGGCCTGGCAATTGTCAATGGCTTCGGCTGGATATTTCTCGGCACTTACATGGTTTTGTCGTCTAATCACAGGTTTAGGTACATCACTATCGTCGCTACTACTCTCCCCCTCGCTAACGACTCTCTGGAATCAATTACGATTACGATTTAACAGACAATTTGATTCGCTGGTAAAGGCCTTCACACATAAAATTCCGTAAGAACATGAAACGTAAGCATAAGAAAATCGACCAATCACGGTCGAGAACGTAAGACAATAATGCAAGCAGTAGCGAATCCAATCTGTTGATTTTCTTACGCTTACGTTTTACAAAGTTTTATGTGTGAAGGCCTTAACGCAAAGATCGAGAGAGGCTGATGAGCGTCGACGGACTGGTAGATCAACGATTTAATACCCGTGTTAAAAATATCGCGATAATCGGAACAATTGCACTCGCACACATACAAGTATTTTCTTCCTCCGTCGAGTTTGTACAATAATAGATTCGTCGCTGCTGTCACTGTCGCTTATGACAACTTTCCTGCGCTTGTGAGCATGATGGCGTATCGAACAGGCGTTATCGCTGTCGCTTGACATCTTGACCACCCCTAAAACTCATACCCACTGTCGAGTCTCTCCTGCGGATCTGTAAACAAAAATTCGTGGCGTGTTCAGGCCGCCCTTGTTTTCGTCGGGAAAAGACAAACAACTCGTCCGGCCATTGAATTATTGCACCTCGGCTTTCCGTGCGTTGCTTCAATGCCCGCTCGACGACGCCGCGCGTCCCGCGGGCGTCTCGGGGCCTCGGACCGTCCGCCCCGGCCTCGGCGGGTGGACGGCGTCGCGACGCGGCGAGAGGCCGCGCGCGCGTTCCTTCCGATCGGGTTCCGCGAAAACCCGCGGCGTCGCCGATGGCCGCGGGGATCGAGAGATGACGACGCTGCCCGCCCAATTCCCTCGCTCGCGCGGCACCTCGGACGAGCCGCGGTGACGACGCGTACGTACCCGACGCACCGTAGAGTTGACGCTCGCTGGAGCCCCGTCCCGTCCCGTCCCGTCCCGCTCCGCTTGCTCCGTCCCACTCGGTTTTCACCCGTTCGCTCGGTCGTCGCTCCTCTGGATTCCGCCTGTCCGCGACGAGCCGCGACACACTGGCGTCTGGCGGGCCGCGCGGTGCCGATCCCTCGTCCCGCGCACGGACGGACGGCCCGGAGCCGCTCGCGCCTCAGAATTGTCCCCCTCGAACTCTCTCCCGTGATGGCACGCCGAAAGGGTACGCGTTCTACCGCAAGACCGTCGCGGACATCTTGAATCGCGGACGCCGTGGTGGTGTGCCGTGAGACTCTGCTGTGCGCTGTGTGCACCGTGTACAGCGGTGTGTATATGGACGTCGGCCGCTGCGCGGGCCCACTTCCGGTCTCGCGCGGCGTTCAGGGCGTTCGCGGTCGCGCGGCGTCCGCGATCGCGCGTCGTCCGCCGTACGCAAAATCCCGATTTCCCGACCGAACGAGCGACGATCGTGCGCCGGCGATGCGGCGATGCGCCGATGCGGCGATGAGGCGACGGCAGGGTAGGACGGACGATGAACGTTGCGCGTAGTATCCTGACCGACCGGAAGTGAGCGCTCGGGCGATTTGAACGGACGCGGGTTCCTCGCAACTCAAAGTTGCGTGAATTTTTCCGACTTTTTCCAATCCTGTGTGATCGAGCCTACGGATATCCCGGGGCCAAACGTAAAAATAAAAGCGAATTAGGTTGGGTTAGGTTCATCGGTCAAGTTTTTCTGCAAAAGATGCAAGTTGATTGGTTACACACTTCTCAGAATTAGAACTTGGGCACAGTTCTTGGATCGTGGACACAAGGGGTGCTTT